TTATGTGCACTAAACTTCTGTTCTGTTACAGGCTTAAACCAGTTTCTGATCAGTTAAACCGGTTATGTGTAAGTTCTGACCCTAGCCCGGGAGATCAGAATGAGTGTGTCTACACATTGTCCTACGTTGCCATACGACATGCTATGGTGACCTAGCAATTACATGTACCAGCAGCTACTTCATCGTATCGGTGCCCGCCCCTGTTACAGTGAAGCACAGCTAAAACTAACTGTGCACTATGCACATGGCGCAGTTCAGGTGTACTTTGAAAGAACTAAAGCATGTCACAGTAACAATGTCGCTGTACGACGATGTGTAGATGTGTCCAATGTGTAGGGACAAAATGAAAATGGCTGGAAATCAAATATAATTAGATCTTTTAGATTAAATTAAAATAAATTGCATAAAGTTCTTTAGTTGTATAAAGAAGAGAACTAGTTAAGAATAAGAAGAGCTGCTCTTCAGTGAGGGTAAAGATAAAAATAAAAATAACATAGGTATGGAACGAAAATAAATTAATACGTTGTCTCAGTTTATAATAAGGTTTAGAATCTGGGGCAAAGGCAGGATGGCTTATGAGAATGACTATATACAAATCAAAAGTGCCACATCCCAGGAAGCCAAACTCAAAATTGGGGGACTGTGTAATCCTCATCCAGACTACTGGGACAACTGGGAAGTGAAATTTATAATCCAGAAGCAAGGATTTTTAGTACATCTATTTTAATAAATCTATTAAAAAATATTTCAAAGTACCATATTACTGGAAATTAATGATTGCAATACCTTTATTTAATAATAAATAATATTAAATAGTAAAATAATTAATAATAAATACCATTACTTAAGAAAAGGGATAATGATCTAGGCAAGTCCAAGACTCAATATTGTGCAAGACATTAGAACAAATTTTGAAGGAAAGGAAGGAGGAGGTAAATGGAAAATGGGGTAAAATCTAGTTGTTCCGGAAGTTGATTATGGCAAACTAATCAATGTTTTTCTTTTATAACTGACTTTTATACAAGGGAAATGTGGTTGTTTTCATCTATCTAGATGTCTGTGAAGCTTTTGATAAGATGCCACATGAGAAATTATTGGCTAAAATGGAGATGGAAAAGAAGAATGGAGATTAGTATCAGAATGCCCAAGTGAGTAAGGAACTGGCCTTGACAGAGGGAAAAATGGGAGCAGGGTGGAATCCATCAAAGACTGGTTTTGGGAGTGAAATAGTCATAAATAGTCGCATGGTATTAATTTTGTACCAAACTGGGAGGCATCATCAGTAGAAAGGACATGGGGGGCATGTCTACACATGTAATTAATGTGCTGAGAGCTTATTGGGCATGTCTAAATGAAATGCTACTGCAAAGTGGTTATCGCGCATTTATTTAATACTAGCAAATCTCCCATCAAAAATGACGGGGGTGGGTTGGGTGGAGGTGGCGACGGAGTGCTGCCACCCACCACCCTGTGCCGCCTCCTAGGAGCAGGGGAGGAAGCCTGCCTCACTGTCCCCTCCATCCCCCTCCGCCAGCACCCCGCACCACTGCTGCCTCCAGCACCGCTGGCATCACCCCCCTGCTCCGTCCCTTCCATCCCTGCCAATCACTAACCAATCAAAGTGCTCCAGGAGCATTACGGACAGACAGACAGACGGACTAAGTCCTTTATTATATAAGAATGTGTATAGGTAGGTACTAAATAAATGTGCAGTAACCAGAGTTACTGCACAGTAATGCTAGTGAATGTCTTTTAAGTGACATTACTGTGCAGTAACCTAATAATACCGCATTATAGCATATTAGCCCTGTTGGTACTAGGATTTGCTACTGCGCAGTATTATTCTACTACAGTGCAGTCAGCTTCTCATGTAGACATGCCCACAGTGCAGTAAAATACTGTGCAGTAAGCTTTCCCTAGGAGCATGTCTACACATGCACCCTTTGGGAACAAATTTGCTCCGGACAGGAACAGGTATGGGCAGGGCTACTTCTGTCCTGCTCTGCTCCCATACAGCAGCCAGGGGGAGCTCTAACTCCCCTGGCTGCCAGCCATGGGCTGGCAGGGAGCCCTAGGGTCAGGCCTGGGCTCTGGCGGTGAGAGGAGCTGTCCTGCCTCTAGGGGAGCTGCTTTCCACCCCATGCCCCTGCCCTGGCAGCTGCTTCCGGGCCCTGGCTCTGAGATTAGAGCTGGGACTGGGACATTGTCCCCTGTCCCAGCAGCAGGCAGCTTCTGGGATCCAGCTCTGGGACTGCCTGCTTCCAGGGCAGGGGACAATGTCCCAGCCCCAGCTCGGATCAGCAGATTGGAGTGGGGGCTGGGAAGCAGGCATCTGCCTGGGGGAAGGGACAGTTCTCCCACCTTACGCTGCCTGGGCTGCCTGGGAGCAATTTGCTCTTGGTCAGCTATGTACCTGTGCACTATTGCGCATTAACTAATGTGCAGTAAATCTATTGCCTGTATTTTTAGGTAGTAGAAAACCAGGCATTAGCCTATTTTAATGCATGAGCTGCTGCGCATAGTTACGGAGTGACACTTCACTGCACAGTAGATTAGTCTACTGCAGGGGTTTCCAACTGGGGGTATGCGTACCCCTGGGGGTACTTTGGAAGGCCCCAGGGGTATGCGGCAGCAGCATGGAGAAGCCGGCGGCAGTTCCTGTTTTACCGGCAGCACTTCTAATTTTGCTGCTGCATGGGGGGCCCCCCTCTCCTCCACTGGTTAACCGACCACCAGGGAAACCCCCCTTCTCCCTGCTCATCAATCAGCTGCTGGGGGACCCATCCCTCACTCATCGGGGCGACTCCCTGCTTCTAGACTGGCTGCTGGGGGTATCCCAACCAAAAAGTTTGAAAACCCCTGGTCTACTGCATAATAAAGCATCTTGTGTAGATGAACCCTGGGAATATCATGCAGAAGAGCTGGATTATATTGAGGACTGGAGTAGCAGAAATGGGATGAAATGAGGTCAGCTACAAAGTGTGAGGTCAGCTACTTAGGGAATCACAGCATCAGCTTTAAACTGAGGGCATGAACCACTCATGTCCCCTGAGGTGGGGGGGCATGGTGACCTCCTGCAGGTGGAATAGGGATTTCCCACCGGCAGCCGCAGCAGTCAGTGGCGGGGGAGGGGGCAAGTGGCAACCGCCCGCAGACGTGGGTGGCAGCGTGGCAGTGGCCAATATCGGGGGGGCGGGGAGCACGTACTCCCCCGTACCCCACTATGCATTGCCTATGACTGAGAGTTTAGCAGCTGGAAACAACAGGTAAGTACAGAGACCTGGACTAGAAGCCACCAGTGTAATGCAGCTGTAAAAGAGCCAGCTTTTTGGAAAATTGCTACTTCAGTACAAAGGGGCTTTTCACAGAGACTTCAGCTTTCCAGCATGCAGTGCAGCCTCTCTAGTCTGTGTGCCAGGAAGCATTGTATCCTATGACCTGTGCTCTCTGCAGGCTGCAGCCGTATATTAAAAATGCAACTCAGGGTTCAACCCTGTAGTCCTCTGAGTTGAGTTCAGCCGCTTGCCGTCTCATCCACCCCGGTGCTTAGCTGCGAGATCCCCACACGTCCAACGGACGAACGCTTTAGAAGCATTAAAAGCCGAGCTTGGCTGCCTAAACTGGGAGGCTTAAAGCTTGGTCTTTGCTACCACATTCACGACTCAAATCATAACCGAGATAATGCTGTCGTGGTAGGGAAAACCTGCCTAGGCTTCAAGGGAACGAGCTGATGCTCAGCACCTCTGAGACCAATGCTGTTATCTATTCAAGTTTTTGAATATGGCGGTGATGAAGGTGAGGGAGTAAGCGAGGAAGACTATGCCAGCCGCGGTGGGTAGCCTTCATCTAGGTGTTTTTCAAGGATGGCTTTAATGAGCATAAAAAGTCACAGGCCAAACTCTCCTCTTCTGCTCCTGCACTGGGCAGCGGGTGCCGCTGCACCGGGCCTGGCATTTAATACTGCGGGAGCATGTCCCTGCCCTGCGCGCGGGGCACGAGGAGACCCCGCCCCACAATTAAACACAGGAGCTGGGGGTGTAGCCAACAGGCCTGTGTCCACCAGCGAGGACGCGGCCAGGCCCGCGCTGAGCACACGCGGGGCCACATCCTTGCGTTCGCGGTGGGGGGGGCGTCCCCATAGTGCCCGCGGCTCGCAGCCGTGGGAGGTCGGGGGCGACCGGCGGGGAGGGGACGCAGCCCTGCACGGAACGCCTGCGCCTGGCAGGGGGGGGCG